CCAACAAAGATTGTTTGTAAAAATTGTTCCCTATAGGGCATTCTCTATTCTTGCAGAGTAAAAATTGAACCATGAAAGTATACAACAAAAGAAGAAGAAGCAGAAGAAGGCTTATCATCGACTGTACTTCCTCGGAACATTCATTCGCTGCTGAATTAATTGCCAACAATTCAGATCTCCTAACAGAGATCCTAATCCGAGTCCCAGCAAAATCCCTAATCAGATTCAAGTCGGTCTCAAAGCAATGGCTCTCTCTCATCTCCGACTCCCAATTCACCTCCGACCACGCTCGCCGAAATCACCATTCCTCCGTCTCAGCCTTATATTTCTACTCAAACCGTTGGTCTCTCGATGAACAACCCCAGTCTGTATCAATTGCTGGACACCAAACTCTTCTTCCCACACTCTCCTTTCTCGATGGTGTCGTTGTATCAAGTTGTACAACTACGATTGAACGCTCTTGCAATGTTTTAATCTTGTGCTCTAATGGTTTCAGAAAACCCCCATATATTGTTTGTAATCTCACCACAAAGAAATTCACACTTCTTCCTGATATTGGTCCTGATATTGGTCCAACTTCATCTGAATCGTATCGTAAAAATGCTGCTGCTTTCTTGGCTTTTGATCGTTCGAAATCGCCTCACTACAAAGTTATATTGTTTAGTTTCAGCTATGTTAATAATGGACGCTGGGTTGAAATTGAAAGTTACAATTCCCAAACTTCGTCTTGGAAACACATTTCTATGCCTGATCCGCGAGGTGTGCCATTCATGTTCAGCGTGTTTTGGAAGGGAGCAATTCATTGTATAACCTATGCAACTGTTCATGTTCGATTTGAGGTTGAGGAAGAGAAATTCATACAAACCCCAATGCCTCGAAACCCTAAAATCATTTCTCCTGATAAGATTAGGTATTTTGGAGGATGTGGTGGCGATTTGCTTCTTATTCAGACTCCTCAACCTTGTGCTATGGGATTCAGCGTCCTTCAGATGCACAGGGATTACTGCAGGTGGATTGTGAAGTACCGGGTCAATCTTAGACCCATTTTATCTGTATTTCCTAAGATAGAACGCAAAACAATAGTCACATGCTCTGAATTTATTGTGCTCTGTGTCGTGAATGGAGCGAATGAAAAAGATTTTACACTGGTGTTAGCTATCCGGGGCAAAGTTATTTCTTATAATGTCAAGTCCAACATATTGAAGGAGCTTTATGATTTATCAACAGATGATCTTGATGATTGGCAACCAAGTTGGTGTAATACTTATCAATTCATTGAAAGCCTATCACCTGTTTGATCATTGTCCTACATGTTTCTACTTCTTTCTTCAGCGGATGGTATGTCCATCAATAAACTTTTCTATATTTCTATCTGTTTAAGTATTTGTTATTGTTAGTTTCTTGGTCTGTGATGCTATGCTACTATCATCTTTTGATATTTAGATTCTTCATTCATCAATTAAGGGTGAATTATTAATTTTGCTGTTTTATATGTGAGCCCTGTTTTGACCACAGTAATTCATTCACTCAAGTATCATTTAGATTGTTTTGATTACCAAAGAGGGTATGTTAAACTCATTCACTTCCTGGTTTTAATCTCCTAGTTATGATGTAGTTGGGTGGAATGGTTTAAAATGCTCTAGGAAGGAGTAGAATATATTGAAACAATCGGTTGTTTGCAACTATCATTAATTATTGGTAGTTCCTTCTTGTGAGGACAGGAGAGAGACTAGGTTTCTTCTTTTGTAAAATGTTTCTAGGGAATAAATAAAAAATTATGAAAAAGATCTTGTAAGTCCACATTGCCTCACTAGTTCTTCTAGAATAAAATGAATTTCCTTAACAAATCAAGAGATGTAAGGTGTTAGTTTACATAGGAACCAATAATTGTGTTCAAAACTGCGTAAATAACTATTATAAAAAAAATAAAAGAATATAAAAAGAGAGATGAAATATAGAAGCACAAATACTACGTTTGTATAATTTGATCTAACATGCAATTGCAATTTAAAAACCGTGTTCAAGTTTGGAAGGCTCAACTTGGTCTCTTCACTTAGTGAGGGTTGGAATCTAGTAAACCTGTTGCTTTCTCGTGGGGATGTATATGATTGAGTCTATTAATTTGGTCTACGTTTGTGTTGTTTGAGTTTTCAGTTTGTTTTTTATTGGAAAATTTCAAAGATCAATTGGACGATATTTAGCTCTAGAAATTGAATATGATTGGTCCAGTTTGAGAAACCTGAATATTGAATCTTAGTTTTAGAACTGCAAATTGATTATAAAAAATAAAAATAAAAAAGTTCCAGAAAAGTAGGTTGTAGTCCTTGAAATAGCATCTTACATAGGAGCTAAGTTCGATTGCCAACTTCTGCGAGCTGTAAGTTTTGGTATGTTTAGGGTCGTACTTTGATCGAAATCTCATTTTAGTCTTTAACATTCAATTATGACAGTCAGCATCTTACATTTTCACATTTTAGTTCATCCATTGTTTATTTCCACTGCTTGCAATACTATTGCATCCCTGTGAGCCCTATGTGTGGTTTACTCGTTTCACTTCACGGTTTTGAAATTGGCCTTGGGAAACATCATAATTGATTAGGTTTTGATTGGTTGATTAAGGGTGGCATACAATTGATGTACATAATCCATCCATGGTTTACTTCCCATATAGGAGAGAGATTGCTTTCTTATTTTGTAATTGGATTCATGTTAATAAATCTAAAACAATAGATTTTTGTAAGACGGTGTTGTTGTTTCTATAGTTCTCCTGTAATTGGCCTAGGGGCAAGGCCTTGGGTATTGGGGGTGTGCTCCCTCCAAAGTTCAGGGATCGAAACCTCTTAAGTACTAACAATTTCTTAGGGCCATCAGATTGGGGGAAAACCCTTAAATTCGTATATTCAATTGTGTATGTAATACAAGAGTATATTGATTTATATAACAATCTAACCTAGGATTGAAAATGAAGCAATCCCTAATATATACAAAATATATATATAATACCATATATACATAAAACCTAATATTCTCACAATTATTGATGATCGAGATGGCAACGGTGGAGTTTGAGCGACAACAACGATGACGACGATGACGACGACAATGGGTTTGGTTTTAAGTTTGATAAAAATCTTATTTCTTCACACTACATTTGTAAAAAGATTAGAAGTTTTCAAAATCGTTGCTTTTTTAATTATTTTCTTTGGCGTCTTTTTGTAGTTTGAATAGGTTCTTTGTGTGGATTTGTGGGCTTTGTCGTATTTTTCCTTTTCATTATCTTATAAGTTGCTTGGTTTTTATATAAACTGCATTTCTTCATTGAAAACAAATTAGTTACTTATCTAGAATGTTCTTATTAAACTAATCGCCAATTAATAGTATTGTCCATTATTTTTTTGGTTATTAATTTCATTATTACCACGCATCCCATTTTTTCGGCAAGCAATCAACTAGTTGTTAAGCAATTTAACTATAACGTTTGTGATATCAACGCTATAAATTATCATAACTTACATATAATATACATAAAAAAGAAAAAGAAAAAAGAAAAGTGTATATTGTAAAAAGGCCCCTTTTCAAAAGGCATTTTTATGTTGACATAAAAATGTGTTTAGTTTTTAAGATTTTATGTTCTTGATTAAATCCACAACAATTCTTGTAAGGTCATTATATTTTTATTTTGCAAATCTTTGAAAAGATTTTTTCCTTTAACAAACTTCAATATATTATCGTACCAATTCTTATTTTATTTTTTTTCGATGCCTTTTTTTTGCTAATTTTTGTTTTGTTTCCGGGACAATTGATGAAATTAGAAAGCCTTGAAGGTGCAAGATTTTTCTTTCTTTCTTTCTTTCTTTTTTTTTTTTCATTTTTATTTTTTATTAACTTTGAATTGTTTTATAAAAGAAATTGTCAAGTAGTCCTACACGCCACATGCAAAGAACGTGCTTTTTCACTAGTTTCTGTATATATGATCCCACACATATATGTTAATATATATTATTTAACAAGCACTTTAAAAGCCATGTGTATATTTTCACATTACACGCTTTAATGTTCGTATATATATTTTTACATGAGCTACTCTCACTCTCGCTTCTCTCAACTAATTAGTTACTTATCGACACTGAAATCTCATGGAAGGGTGCACGACTTTCTATCTCAGGAGATTCCCAATACCCCCTCCAATGACTTTGTGACAATCCTGTGAAGAGGGGTGTGAGACTTCCTCTCTCTAAAGATTCTCGACCCCCATTCAACGACTTTCTGACGCTTCTTCGATAAGCTCCAAATACACTTCTGTCATGTAGTAGATTTGGGTTTTTATGCATACGGAGAAGAGTTTGAAAGCTTCTGTGTAATTCTGACACAGAGTGCTTTCTCCTTTCATCGTTTTTAAATTTTGGGATTATCAGTACCCATAATGGTTACCCATTACTGTTGTGGGTGTTCATGTGCTTTGGCAACCCATGGTTGCCAGTGTGTGTGTGTGTTTTATTTATTTATTTTTTTTCCCGGCAGGTTTTTGTTGTTTGTGTAGGTTTCTTTATCTGGGCTTATGGGATTTGTTCTATTTTTTTTTTTCTTTATCTTGTAAGTTTCTTGGTTGTTATCTAGAAAAAAAATTAATTCCAAATCGACCCACTTAACCCAATAAAAATAAATACATATATATACTTTTCTTATATTTTTGTTATTTGTCTAGTTAATTTTATAATTAAATAATATAAAATTAATATTAATGTTTTATAAATAAGCGAGTTAGGCAGGAATAAGCTAAAGTTTATCCTCCTAAATCCAACTTAAAAATTAAATGAATTTAAAATTTTAATTCAATCTAATCTTGCAAATATCGAGCTTAATTGGGCCAGTGATGGGCCCATGAGCACCCCTATCCCCAACATTTAAAGCAAATGACACAGCAAAAGAATCTCTGGAAGTTTAGGGCAGACCTCTTCCCCTTCATGCTTCTTCACTTCTGCCTCTCTTCATGTGTTTGGGTAAATTGTGGTCTGCCATCAAAGGAAAACGAACATCACCGATTTGCGTCGGCTATTGTCGTCACCAATCTTCATGGCCCGTCTGTGTCGGCTATCTTACTCGCCAGTCTTCATCGGCTGTCTTCCCACCGATGTAAATCTCTTCCCTTCCATTCTATACACGAATCAATGGATTGTGGTAAGCTGCCATATTTCGTAGATGTTCAACAGATTCGCCCCAAATAATAGTGGGTTTTGTTTGAATACAGTACTAATTGCTCTGATCTGTTAGTTTTTTAAGATATGTTCGCATCAACTCTATGATATGTGAATTTTAGGGTCAGATCTTTTGGGTTGAATGAAACCAAGACAGTGTGGGTGGTCTTTTTCTTTTTGTACATGTTCACTCATCATCTCATGTACTTTAGAGGTTCATTTTCTGCAGTCCTAATTCACTTCTAGAGTAGAGAAGTTCCATCGAGATTTCTTGTATTGATGATATTTTTGGGCATTTTTCTTTGGCTGTGATAAGGATAATGGTTGTGCTAATTTTTGAGTTCAGTTTAAAAGGTTTATCTTACGAACATATGATCAGTTCATTGGATACTTTTAACAAATTTAACAATTTGTGAAGGTTTGATTTTTTTGGAAATACCATACCAAATTAACATTTCCCACTAATTTCAGCAAAGTCACTCTTTGGTGGTTATAATTTTCTGGGAGACACTTTACCAAATGATCTTACCATAGTCATTGCCAGAAAAGAAAAGCATACACTTTACAGCATTTGTCAGCAGGGGCGAAACTAGGAATTTTTTCTGGGAGAGGCCAACATATATGTGTATAAAATCCATAGTTAGTTTTGATACATTACTAATTTAACATAATTTCTTGTATAAGCATTGCAAAAGAAGTATTTTACTAGAAAACTAATAAATCTCAGAAGTAGTTTTTCTCAGTTTTTAAAAGTTTTGAACTATTGATTATATCTCACTATGCAATAAGTTCATTCTTTTAGTTTATTTATTTATCAAATTTGGGTGAAAAATTAGTTATAAGCTTGAAATGATATGGGATGCTCCAACTGCTTTTTCATCAAATTTAAGTAAAAGCTTGATTTGGTGAAAAATTTTGAATGCTCCAATCCTCCCTAAAAAATTTCATCAAATCCATTTTGAAAATTGGGTTTGGCTTCTCAAGTTCAAATCTCAACTTGAGAGAACTAGAAATGTGAACTTGAGGGGCTCGTGGGGCCCGCTACAGGTTATGTTTCAATGATCCGAACCGTTCATGTAGGGACCTCCGTGTATATCATCCATGAAAAAAATTATCTTAATCGGATAATGGGAACCTTTTCATTTTATCATGTTTGTTTCCGAAAAAATGGACAATGAGTATGTTTTTTAAAATAGACCACTCATATTTTTTTGAGACAAACACGGTAAAGGAAAATATTACGATTATCGGATTGAGCTAATTTTTTTCATAGATGATATATGCAAAAGATCTTATCGGATTGAACAGTTTGGATCATCGATACAAGACTTGTAGTGGGCCTTATGAGCCACTGAAGTGATGCCCAACTCTTAAAAATTCCATGCTTATCCCCAAAAATTTGTTTCATCAAATTTGGTGAAAAACTTATTTTTGCCTTGATTTGATGAAAAGTTCGGTTAAAACTTGATTTGATACAAATTTGATGAAATAATTTGAGTCATTGTCATCAAATTCAAATTTGACACTAGATTTGGTGAAGGATGGGAGATTGCTGTAATGAATTATAATAGTGACCAAAACTCATCATAGTTGTAAGGAAAATGCTTGACTAAAAGGAATTCTAGCAGTGGCATTAATTTGTAATTAGTTAAAATAGAAAAAGTAATTTTTTAACTAAAATTTGGCTGAAATTTAACTTAGTTTGATGGAGATGCGTATTCTCTGTTCTTGTTCTGGGTTATGCACAGGGAAAAATGACCAACAGTAAAGGAACACTAGTTATTGGCTACAATTCGTCGGAACATACACCGGCAACAGAATTAATTGGCAGCAATGTAGATATTCTAACAGAGATCCTTACCTGTGTGCCAGCAAAGTTTGTCATCAGATTCAAGTGCGTGTCTAAGGATTGGTTCTCCCTAATCTCCAATTCACCATTTTCTCGCAACCACTCTAACCGATATCCCAGTGCCTTGTTCTCAGGACTATTCATCAACCCTGTTACATCATTTGACGATGAAAAAGTCAAGTCTGTCTCACTTCACGGCCAACACCAAAGTCTTCCGACTTCGTCACTTCTTGATGGTGTTGGATTTGGGTCTGGTACATTTAGGATTGAAGACTCTTGCAAAGGCTTACTATTATGCTTGAATGGCCCAACGTGTTTCATTGTTTGTAACCCGACCACCTAGAAATACACAGTACTTCCCTATCATGGTGGCACTACGACATCTTCTATACCATTTCATAACAAAGTTTGGTGTTTTCTTGAGTTCTATGTTTGGTGGTTATTTGGCTTTTGATCCTTCAAAATCGCCTCACTACATTGTTGTATTGGTAAGTTACATTAGGAATAGTGATGGCTGCTTTTACTTAATTGACATATACTCTTCGGAGAGCACTTCTTGGACGCACATGCGTGCTGCTGCACCACCAGGTTACCCTTTCGCAAAAAAGGTATTTTGGAATGGTTCAATTCATTGGATGAGTTACGATAACGTTTACATTCGATTTGATGTTGATGCTGAGAAGCCAATGGGAACTCGAATGCCTTCAAACCCTAAAATTCGCTCCGAAGAGAGAATTTGGTATTTTGGAGAATGCTGTGGCCATTTACTTCTTGTTCAGTGCTGTGATATGGGATTCAGAATTCTTGAGATGGAGAGGAACTACTGTTATTGGATTGAGAAGTACCAGGTCAATCCATAATATCTCTTTTTCCTGAGATAAAGAGAAGCAGACACATGTGTGACCCGCCCATCATTAGGAAAATTGCTGTGCTATGTGTTGTGAAGGGAGCAAATGAAAAAGATTTTACGTTGGTGTTATCTATTCCTGGCAAAATTGTTTCCTATAATCTGAAGTGCAAGACAGTGAAGGTGCTCTGCGCTTACCGAACTGGCTTTTATGAATGTCCTGGTTACAAGCACATTTCTTGTGCGTATGCTTTTAAGTATGTTTATGAATTCTATGAAAGCCTGTCCATTGGAACAGATCAGATGTGCCTTTTTTAAGCTTGTTCTTGTCCTAAAGCTTTTGCAATTCTCAATTTTTATTTTATTTATTTATTTAATTTTTTTTTTAAAGAATTCTACAATGTTTAAGCTATGCTCTTCATGTACTTCTTCCTTGTGAATGTTAGTGATGCTCTCTCATTTGGGGATTTATGCTTGAGTCAAATAATTATCCTTGTTTTTGATGTTTTAATTTTTTAGCCAGTTCTTTATATGAAAATTTCTAAGACCAATTGAAAGATAGGTAGCTGTGGGAATTGACATCGAACCATATCAAAGAGTTTGAGTCGATAGAATATTACATAATGAAGAAAGACGGGAAGAACAATCTAAAACTCGTACAATTCACCTCATAATATTGCACATAGGTCTTATTGTTCGCATGCTGACAGGTTAGCATGACAAGCAATATTGTTCCATCATTGCCGAAATGGAAGTAAGGTGCAGTGCCTTCTCTGAATTTTCTCTCCTTTCCCGTTCATCTTGTAGACCAATGTATGACAAAGTCAAAGAATAAACAAGAAGCTAACTTTCTATTTTGATACTTTTCTCTCTCATTTCTTTCTCATTCTATATCTGAATGTCTTGATGTGTCTGTGCCCAGTTGGTCTGATTCCCTTCAAGTTTTGCAACAAGGTAAAGCTTTCTCTTGATTTCATTCCCATAATTTACAATTTTATTACTTGTTTTGATTGTTTTTACAAATTCATCGGAAGAATAATGCTTGGGACCCCCTTTTGGGGGTCACCCCTTTTGCCACGTAGCGGGTGGTGATTGGAGGAGCAGGAAAAAAAAGAAAAAGAAAAAGAAAATGTAACCAATGAGAAAGAGAGGGGGTCAAAGGGGATGGGGGGAAAAGGGGGATGAATCATTGTTGTTCATCGGAATGTGTTGGAGTACACGAGTGGTCTTATTATATAAAATTGATTCGGGAAATAATACACACTACAAAAGGTGCACAAAAAAAATGTATTCAAAATTTCAGCCACAATAGTTTTTAGTAAAATTTTAACTTGTAATCTTAGTTATGAATCCTTTGTGGTGAGTATGATTATGAGCCTTTGTTGTGATTGGTTAATCGAAGTGTCTATGGATATATATATATATATATATATATATATTTCTTAATGAACCAAATTGGTTTGAGCTGGGAGGTTTTGTGGTGTTTAGTTATGAAATGAAATGACCTTGACTATGAGGTTTTGTGGTGTTCTCTTATGAACCGGAGAAGTCTTGTTTATGAGAATTTTGAGGTCTTTAATTATGATCCAATTTGGTTTTTATTATAACCCCAATTGGTGTACTAATAATGAACTATTGTAACTAAAATTCTGAAGTGTATGTCATGTATAATTTTTTTATTTTTATGTATACTATCACTTCCCCAATTGAAGAAGCAAACCAGCTGCACAACCTAGAAATCAATTCAGAAAAAAAAATAAAAAAATAATAATAATAATAAAAAAAAACCCCCATTTGGAGGGGTGACAAAAAAAAAACACCATATAGGGGAGGAGAATTTTTATATGACATGCATAACATGATATGCTATACAAATTTAGTGGATTAGAATTGAACATTTTTCAATACAAAATCAATTATAACATAATACAATGACACGACAAGTAAACAAGTTATAGCCAATGTAGTACAACTTGATTAATGGAGATTTAGTTACACTTTAATGTTATTTTCACTAAAAAATGGCATGTGATGTTTATATTTATTATATAATTTGACCTAATTAAATTAAAAAAAAATTGTAAAATAAGGTTTTAGGGTCAATATAATCATTTTATATTTGGGGAAATTGCAAATAAATACTAGCATTTTGGGAAAGACATATCATTTCAATGGAAATGTTATACTGTATATCAATATAGATGGAAGACCAAAAAGCAATTACAATATCATCGATTCAGGTTTTTATAGGACAGAAATACCCCTAACACACTCCCAACCCCCCCTCTCTCTCTCTCTCTCTCTTTTCCCTTCCCCCTTTTGCTTTTCTTTTCCCATGTCTCTCACTCATTTCTATTGGGACAAATTATACTAACAGTCCATATAGTTTGGGGTTCGTGTTAGTTTGGTTCCTGACTTTTCAATTGTGATACATTTGATCCTGAATTTTGAATCTTGTTCCAAATAAGGAGAATTGAAGATACCATTACTTAATTTCAAGGACAAAATCGTCAATTTGATAAAATATAAACTAATTTGACAAAAATAAATGTCAAAAAAATATTTTTAAAATTTTAAAAATTATTTCTACCCATCAAAGATAAAATTATGTAAAATTGATAAATTTTTTACACATTTATTTATTTATTTATTTTACAAAATTAATTTTTATTATGTGTTTGGATGATAATCATGTAATGGGTAGTTTTTAATTTCATTAAATTAGTTTCTATTTTTTTCAAAAGTCAAATATGACGACAACTTTAATATCATTATTAAACCAGTCCATTAAACCAAAAATCCAAAACTAAAAATATTTCATATATTAAATATATCAATTACACATTATAATTCTAACAACCACCCATTACATGGTCATCATCCAAACACATAATAAAAATTAATTTTGTAAAATAAATAAATAAATAAATGTGTAAAAAATTTATCAATTTTACATAATTTTATCTTTGATGGGTAGAAATAATTTTTAAAATTTTAAAAATATTTTTTTGACATTTATTTTTGTCAAATTAGTTTATATTTTATCAAAGAGTGGCATTTTATATAAGTAATATAATAAATTTTCAGGTAAATTACACTGACACTTCTGAGGTTTATATTTATTATAATTTTTTTTCTTACATTTTGAAAATTATATATCCCTTTCTGAGGTTTAAAGTTTTATTACAGATTTTCCCTTAGTAATTTAATTTTTTTAAACACCAATTTTGCCCTCAGTGGATAAATTACATTGACACCTCTCACATTTTAAAAATTATAATCCCCACCTTAAGGGATCTAGGAGTATGAAATGGGTTGGGTCTAAACTAGAGCTGTTATAGTTATCATGGAAAATAAGAAGAGAACATGTTTCCAATGTATGGAAATGAATTTTAGAAGTGAGGGTGTAGTGAAGGTTGCAAAATTTTTGAAAAGTAATTTCTTCATTAAGGTAGGGATAGATATATTCTATATAAAGTTTTGGCATATGTGTCACGACCCCAAACTGCCCCTAGTAGTTTGGTGTCGTGATGGCCAGTAATCCGTAATTACCGAAGGCCAACTTACAAAATTCACACACAATCAGAGTATAAAAA